AGAGAGAGAGAGAGAGAGAGAGAGGAGAGAGAGCAGAGAGCATGCGCACCAGGGAGACAGAGAGATCAAGAGAGAGAGACAGAGGAAGAGAGAGGAAGGGGAGGGTAAGCGTCTCTCTGACGGCCAAGTCTTGAAGGTGTGAGGACTAGGATTTTAGGAGAGCCACCGAGACCGTGAAGGTCTGGGTGGGGTATGATGTTCAGTTCTCTGTTACGTGTCTCTGGAGGTTACAGAATCCTTCAAGGAAGACCTACAAAGCCTATGCTGGTAAACTACCAGCTGGGAAGGGAAGGGAATAAGTTTGAACACAGGAGTTTATTATGCCCTAGGAAGTAGTCCCTGAGGGCCACCGTAGCCTTAAAGGCTGTGGTGGGGTGTTTTCCTCCCTGCAGGTGGGCAAAGAGGTTTGCCGGACAATCAATGGCCAAATCCTTCTGACACCACCATTGGGTTTAGGACTCCAGAAAGGGGAAACTCACCAATCGAAGGCCAATGGTGGATATAGTTCTGGCAATCGAGAAAATGGGTTCAGGTCACCTGATGAGTGGCACTTCAGAAGGAAGAGGGACCCAAAAGTGGGTTTTAACCCTCTTCCGGGTTTCGGCACCAATGAAAGGAAAGTGACCATAACACTTGGAGCGACCAAGAGATCTTTACTGCAGCAGTGCAACAGAGGATGAGAGAGAGAGAGAGAGAGAGAGAGAGAGAGAGAGAGAGAGAGAAAAGAAGAAGAAGAAGAAGAAGAAGAAGAAAGAGAGAGCAAGAGCAAGAGAGACAGAGAGAGAAAGAGAGAGACAGAGCAAGAGAACAAGAGAGCAAGAGAGCAAGAGAGAGAGGGGCCCAGCAGGAGGGAGTTTTTATAGCCCAAATCTAACGGGGCCTCTGGGTTTGCAAGCTGTCTTGTTGGCACAAGGGGAGGGGGGGGTTGAGTGTTCAGCCTTGAGTGGGGGTTGAGTGTTCAGCCTTGAACGAGGGTTGAATGTTTAGTTTTGATGCAAACAGGTGATAAAGGAGCAGACAGAGGTGGGTTTGAGTGTGTGGGCCATCCTACAGCTAACATTTGTTCAGCCTGCCCTGCAGATAACATAGTTCAGCCTGTTCTGCACCTAACATTGCCAGCCCAGGAGCAGCCCCCCAAAATGAGATAGTCTAAAGGGGAGACTCCAGGTAATCTTGGCTCTCATGGGTGCTTGTTATGGTTTGGATGTGACATGCCCCCCAAAAGCTCATGTGTGAGACAATGCAAGAAGGTTTAGAGTAGAAATGATTGGGTGAATTAAACCCCTGATGGTGATTAACTGAGTGGTAACTGAAAATGGGTAGGGTGTGGCTGGAGGAGGTGGGCATTGTGGACGTGGTTTGGGGGCATGTATTTTGTATCTGGCAAGTCTCTCTCTGATTCTTGATCATCGTGTGAGCTGCCCTCCCTTGGCCACACTATTCTTCCATGATGTTCAGCCTCACCTTGAACCCTGAGGATTGGAACTAGCTGCCTATGGACAGAGACCTCTGAAACTGTGAGTCCCTAAATAAACTCTTCCTGCTCTACAATTGTTTTGGTCAGATCTTTTAGTCACAGCAGCTAAAAAGTTGACTAAAAAAAAAAAACAGTGGTTCTGAGCTGCAGTTCCTACTCTGAGAAGTCAGGTCAGTTATACCTCCCAGAATATAGGCAGCCATTCTGGGTGTCAGTCCCCAGGAACAGGCAGGTCAGTGTGGTTTTACCATGCACTGTGCTCCCCATTTCTGAAATCTCTAGAGCAAACTTTATGTATCTTTTCTGGAAGGAAAATCATCCTTGCCATCTGGGCCATGGTGATTCCAGCCCTAACTTCCACCTGACCTCACCAAAATGGCAGTTGGTGTTTCAAAAGGTTACCAACAAGTGATGATGACAGAGAATAATTCCTTTTGCTTAATAATTCATGGTATGAGGCAAGATTACATTATTACTTAAACAAGAGAAGTTGAGATTAACCTGTCCACTAAAGTGAGACACTGTTTGAAGAGGCTTTGGGTAGGAATGTTCAGGCAGATTTCATTATTAGACTCCCTGGATGCCAGCCATTGATCTCTCTCCATGTGATCTTCAAGACCATTTCTGTCTTTGTAAGGCAAAATATAAAGAGGAAAGATGGTGGCTCAGGGGCTGCCAAATTATTCTCAGGACTCAGTGACTTTTAAGGATGTGGCTATGGACTTCACTCAGGAGGAGTGGACTTTGCAGGACCAAACTCAGAGAAACTTCTACAGACATGTGACACTGGAAAAGTACAATTGCAGTTGGTGGTACAAAGAGAAGAGCAGAGGACAATGGAGAAAGTCCTCCAAGACTGGAAGGATTGTGTTGATACCAAATTGTTGGCACCTCAGCAGTAAACTTTGCAAGGAAAAACATCTAATATGGTGGAAATGGAGGGAAACCACATGGGAGAGGAACTATTTAGCCAATGTAAAAATGCCTTGAGTGAATACTCATAAATTACAACTCACAGGAGAATTTACCCTAGAAAGAAACCTTATGAATATAATCAGCATGAAAAAAATCTCATGAAACATTCTACCTTTACTCTGCACAAGAAAATTAATATTGCAGAAAAACTTCCTGTCATCAATGTAAACAGTCTTCAGCCAAAATCCACATTTGGCTTATAAGAAAACTCATAGTAAGGAGAAATCACATAAATGCCATGACTATGAGAAAAGTTTACCTTTCCTTCTCATACTTAGAGAATGGTGAAAATTGAGTATGTGCTTTTCAGGGTATAGGAAGTCTTTTTCTCATTTCACAGATCTTGTACACAGTGGAGAAAAGTTCTATGAAAAGTAAGGAATGTGGGAAAGGCTTCACTTGGGCTTCACCTCCTACTCAACATTCAAGAACTCACTGTGGACTGATGCTTGTGGAATGTAAGATGTTTAGGAAGTCCTTTACTTATTATTCAGGTCTTACTAAACATAGAAAACTTAAGAGAGAAACATTATATTTGTAACAAACATTTAAAAGATCTTACACGTTTATCAAAACTTAACATCCCCATGAGAGTTCATTACTGGAGAAAAGCCTTATGCATTTAGTAAATGTATAAAAGCCTTTCCTAAATCCTCACATCTTACCCTTCATAGAGAACTCACACTGGTGAGAGGACTTATCAGTGCAATGAATATTGGAAAGCCTTCGTTCAATCCTCATTTCTTAACATTTAAGAATCACAATTTATAAAAGCCTTTTGAATATTAGGAGTGTGGGAAAACCTTCAGATATTCCTCACACCTTTGTCAACATAGAAGAATACATACTGGAAAGAGGCCACATAAAGATAAGACATGTGGCAAGAATTCACTATTTCATCACACCTTCAAATGCACACGAGAACTCACATTGCTGAATGTCCCTCAGCTGTCATGATGTGAGAAGCCCTTTACTCAATCCATTTCAGCACTCAAGAGAATTCATAGCTTAGTCATGTGGGAAAACAGTAATTCTGAGTGCCTTATTGTACTAGAAAGAATATTTAGAAAAGAATGTGGGAAGTCCCTTCTTTCTCATAGTTACTGAACATGTGCTAATTTATGTGAAAGTAGCCTCAGATCTTAAAAACTCCAGTAGAAGAGAAATCATGTGAATTAATGAAATGAATGCAGGAAACTCTTGGCACATTCCATGTGCTGTACTTAATCTTTATATACATACACATCCCCCAAAACAAGATGTGAGTGTAAGGTTATGTAGTAAAACCTCCCCCAAGCCTTCACACCTTGCTGAGTGTGAACTCATACTGAAGAAGCACTATGAATGTGAGGAGGGTGGGATAGTTTCCCCTGCATTCTTCAGGCCTACACCAAGCTTGTGAACACAATGGATATAAATGCAAGTCCTCTGGATGCAAAAAAATGTGTGAAGTCTCTCTAGGCCTTATCCTTAGTGTTTGACTATAATCTTCCAGGTGTGAAAATCTTACAAATATCAGAAATGTGGGGTTTTGGTTTATTTATTATCTTACACGTTGGAAAAATGTAGAAGTATACATTAATAAGAAATCCCATGAATTGAAAGGAATGTGGGAAACCCTTTGATTATTCTTTATTATCAGGAAACATGCCTCACACTGCAGAGGAACTGTAACTGTGGGAAGTTAGAACAGGCAGTATAAATTTACTGTATGTGCAAAAAGTTACTAGAGAAATACTGTATGAATGTAAAAAATCCTAAAAGAGTTTTTGTATGAGAAAAAATTGTTACAAAAAAAATTTAAATTAAACCCTAAAGAGTAATTAGTTAAGTTTTATGGTACAACTTTTCCATTATTATACATAAGAATATTGATGCTGACAAAGAAAATCAAGTAAGTGTTTAAGTAATGTTGCTTGTGTGTATTTAAAGACTAGTTATGTTCAATATCATGTGCTTATTTCTTACTCATATATCTTTGGTGAAGTATATGTTCAAGTATCTTTTTTTTCCTTTTCTTAAGTCTTTGGCTAGTTTCTTTCTTTCTTTCTTTCTTTCTTTCTTTCTTTCTTTCTTTCTTTCTTTCTTTTTTTTTTTTTTTTGTTAAAGAGAGAGACAGAATTTCAATATTTATTTTTCAGTTATCGGCAGACCCAACATCTTTGTACGTGGTGCTGAGGATCGAACCCAGGCCGCATGCACACCAGGCGAGCGCGCTACGGCTTGAGCCACATCCCCAGCCCCTGGCTAGTTTCTTAATAAACAGACTTATTAAGGTATAATTACCATATAAACAAAACAAAAAAAGGATTAATGAAATGTTCAGGGCAAGCCTATGGAGCTGGGAATTCTTGGAATTCTATAACCAAACACCAATCAAGTTACATATATATTTGCATTATTTCGCATACCACCAATATCCTGATACTTTTTGAGAACATTATAGTATGTGATTTATATCCAAAAATGTGGTAAGGCATGAATGTAGACTAATCAATTTCCATTGTGATATGAGATTTGGGTGGTTTCCAAAGTTCACTCAGACTATGTGGCTTTATCCTATCTACCAACTTTGATGCGTATATGATTCAACTTTTTGACCCTAACTAAATTAGAAAATGTCAACATGGGATAAAATCTTGATTTCAAGGAGTTTAAACCATCAATGTTTATTTTACCCATGTCTTCTAGAAAACAGAGCCTAGAACATGGATTAAAGAACCAGCTGGGAGCAACAAGGTGGTGGAAACAGGGAATTCAGCCAAGGTGCAAATGCAAAGCAAAACATTTAAAGCATGTTGCTCATGGCAAGATTAGGATGATAATCCTAGAGATGGACTGGATGCATTCATCTAGCACATGGAAACCCTATGGAAAGGTAATAAGGAGATACCAGATCTTGACTAGGTCCTGGGAGAATAAAAGAGAGAGAATCAGTCTCCTTTCTCCATGATTGACTCCAAGAGGATCTAACTCCCTATACACCTGTTCCTGGACAATTGTTCATGACTATGAAGTCTATACTCAACCTTGAGGAATTTTATCCACATCCCAAATAGAAGGACTCTCCGTGTAGATGGAGCACCAAACAAGGAAAGAAAGGAAGTAGTCAAGACATTCTGAAAAGGTTCATAAGGTTTATATCCCCAAACAGATCATTTATATGAAAATGTCAGTTTTATCATATTTACAACTCCTATAGGATGTCCAGCAAAAAGGATTTTTGTCCTGATCCTAAGATGAATGAATGAACCTCACATAAAGCTTATTTCATCCTCCTTTTACTTTAAATTTCCCAAGACATGCCAGATAATAATTGTTTCTAGTCTGTAACTCCCAAACTCGATATTCAATAATGTATTCCTGCACAGTTTTCAAAGTGTTTGTATAATACCTTCTCTTCTCTCCACATGCACACCATATAATATAGCATAATAATTAATAAAATAGGCACTAGAAAAATTTATAAGTCTCAGTTTCTTCATAACTTCAATAGTTTGTAAAGGATATATGAGATACCACATGAAAAGTACTTCATAGAGTGCCTGATTCATAACCTTTAAGAAATGTTTGCTATTGTTACTGTCAAAAATACTATTAATAGTTATTGAACAAGCCTAACAGTTAATAAAGTATGAAACATAACATAAATGTTTAATAAAAATGTGTCTATTAATTGATCCATGTAGGCTTGGATCTCTATCCATTCTTCACATCCTATACATTTATTTCATAGCACTCATAAGAATTGTAATTTGTTAACTTGGGGAAAATATTTATTCAATGTCTCTTTCTCTAAATAGCAAGCTCCATCATATCAGGAACAATGTTGGTCTTGTTTACCTCTATACCTTTGTGACTAGCACATGCCTGACATGATAAATACTTGAATAAACATCTTGAATTGTTTATTCCTTGATTGGAGCAGAATGAAATAGGGTTTACACACTCTTTATCTTATATTGAATGATGTCAATAAAACCATCACATTTAAGAGCCCTTCAATTGTGGGTTGTTTTGCAGACAATTTTCTTGTCTTTCTACAATCCAGTCTACTTCTCATATTCTTGTCTGATAATACATCTAAGCATGTTACCAGTCTGAAATGACAGCTAACAATCCATCTTTTCCCTGTTCTATCTCAAGCAGCAACATTTGACAAATTGAATTGTGATTCCCATCTGTAAACAAAAATATTAAAAGAAATTGTAACATGTCAGAGCTTATTTTTTCTTTAATATTGAGGATTTTTTTAAAGGAAATATTGTTAAGGGAGAAGGATAAACTGAAAACATAAGTTGAGTCCAGAGGTGTGACAGAAGAAGAAAGGGGGATCCAACTAACATGTAAAAAAACTCAAATCAAGGGGCTGGGGCTGTGGTTAAGAGGAGGAGTACTCGCCTCGCATGTGTGAGGTCCTGGGTTCGATTCTCAGCACCACATAAAAATAAGTAAATAAATAAAGATATGGTGTTCAACTACAACTAAAAAATTAAATATTAAAAAAATCAAATCAACCTATTGTCCCACATGTACAAGGAACTGTAATGGCCAGAAATCAAATCAACTTGCTATTTCACCTGTGGAAGGATGTGTAATTGCAAGTAAGGATCAGTATCATCAGACCCATTGGTTGAAAGTGAATCAGAACAAACGCTCCTGTGTATTAAAAAAAAAAGCTTCTCTAGTCAGGCTTCTGAAACAGCTGTTAAGGGGTTAACAGCATCCTAAAGGCTGGAGCTGTGCTGAAGCTGTGCTAAAGCAGCTGTGTAAGCAACAGACTCTGTAACCTTCAGAGCAGCTGTTAGGAGCAGCAGAGAATGAGGGTCGGCCCATATGGGGAGAATAGGTCAAGTCAGCAGTTTTACAGAGAAAAATTCAAGGTAAATCTTTTCACAGAGTTTTCTGATCGTATGTTCTATAGAATCTAAAACCTCCTTCCTTCAATAGCAACAAGAGAAGTGAGCCCAGATTTTGTCTGTTTTCTCTTCAAAAATGACCAACCCACAGAGATGAACCCCAAATCACA